GGTGAGGGGTGAAAAAGTGACTTGTTTTTTCGTAACCAAGGCCTAGAAGTTTCAAGAAGCCCCTTGAACATTGTTGTCCGATCCTGCTAGAATATCCAGGAGCAACGTCTCGTCTGCTTCGGGAAAATTGATTTGAGTACCTAGGGAAAAATGATCGATATTGAAGGAAGTTAAAAATACGGTGGAGAGTTACTCCTGCGTAACATACCTGAGTTTCATCTTTTGGCGAAGAATGGGCCTCGGAGAACTCCTGAAACCCAAAGGAGATCCATACAGAGTTGGTGCTATTTCCTAGAACACAAGAAACATATTGACAATTTTGTATTTGATATCTAGCTAGAACCAAACTAGTTCTATGTACTTTAGGTCGTAAAATAGATTTGTGATAAAAAGAGGTCAATTAGCAATTGAGCATACTATGCACTGATCATTAACATAGAACTAGAACAAGAAAAAGAAAAAAAATGTTATTCTTGAGACAGAGTAATTTTATTTGATGATTACCTGAAGATGCCCTGGTTTGGGTGTACTAATCCTTCGCTCATCATTGGGCTGCCAGATTTTGAAGAATTATCTCGCCCTGAAAAAGCAACAAAAATAGCTGTAAGTGGCATTTTTCGTTAAGCTTGAAAAGTAAAGTTGACGATATGTGTAAATAGCAAGCTCAATTAGAATTAAGACTTAACTATTTACATCAATTTAAACTATTTATTTCAAAAATAAATAGGGCAATTCTGCTGTAACAGAGCTCATGAAATAGCTTTCTTGGTAACGCTATCTTATGCTTGTTCTTGGTAGTGAAAATTAAGAAAATGTCTATCTATTTGCCGTGCGAGCAGGCGTATTTTACATATAAACAAAGCAAGGGAGAATGTTATGATAACTGCACCATCTAGAATTCTGTTATCATAACATTATTCCGTGCTTGTTTATATGTAAAACACGCCTGATTGCACGGCAAATAGATAAACATTTTCATAATTTTCACTACCAGAACAAGCATAAGAAAGCGTTGCCATGTCAGCGCTATTTTAGGAGCTCTGTTACGGCAGAATTGCTCCAAAGTTTTCTCTTTCACTAAAAAACTAAATCAATGAGATTTTTAATTGATATCTTTTAAACTTTGCCGTCTAAGAATGCATAATTCATATAGACGTTAACGGTAATCATCAGTACAAACCACGAGGCTCATCATTCCAATCAGGACCGGTTCTACCCTGAATGCAATGCATGCGAAAAATGCGGGCGCAACTTCGAGGGATGCCATCGTACGTAGTTTTTCTTACAATAAAAAATATAATTTCCATGAACAAAAAAATTTCATACAAACAAAAAATAAACAGCAAAAACAGTTTAAAAATAGAGAAAGGAGGCGCCAAGAAAAAAATTGCATGCAGGCGCTGAGGACCCTTGGACCCCTTGGACCTATTCTGATTTCAAATTTTGATGAATTTTTATAATTCAACCACTTTTTGCAGGGCTGTATACTTTAGTAGTTAGTTTAAACTAAAAACTTGATTATCGTACAAAATTTCATCAAAACTAACAAAAAAATTAAAAAATTAATTTAAAAGTTCCCAACTGATACCTTTCAAAGGGTTTTTGAATTTTATAATTGGTTGAAATTTTTTTCTGAAAACGTTGACAAAAATATTGAATTTTTTCTGCAAATTCTAATAAATAGATCGAACATGGCCTTGCAAAACTTATCAACGCGGTTATAGAGTTTCTTTGAATGGCTTTAAATTTTTAAACCGCTGCAACCGTTTTTATCGCTGCAATATCGGCAAAGTCAAATTTTTGTATACATACTTTTTCCTAATTGGGGTTAAGCGGTTCAGAATAACTTGAAACATCGAAAAAACACAAAATTAGCGAATAGTATTTTCTGGGGAAAACATATACTCATATTATTATATTGTTTAGGCCAGCCTAAGCATTAAATTCTCCTTCTCCTGCGAGAAGTTAATAAACACCATAAATATTTTTTTTATTATTTTATAATTTTTACAACTGTCCTGAAACGGACAACAAGTAAAATTTTTGACATGAAACTGAAGGCGTTGGCAAAATACAAATCATCTGACCATTGCCAGTGAATTGTCGAAGGTCTTATCTATTGTTGATTAATGCAGAAGAAATTTTCTTTTTAATCGGGCCCTGGTAGGGTTGTTCTGAAGTTTTCTCGCGAGCAAGTTTGGATGTTCAGCTAGGCGATTTCTATATTTGTGTGAGTAAGCGATTATTTCATCCTTAACTGTGCTAGTGCCTGTGTCTTTGTGTATTAACCAATTTGGAACATATTTTGGTGCTTTCAAAATTTCTTTTAATAACTTGTTTTGAAATCTTTGAATTATTAAGGCGTTTGAGTTGGAAGTTGATCCCCATAGCTGTATGCCGTATGTCCAAATTGGTTTAATGATGGCTTTATAGAGGTAAATTTTATTATGAGTGTCAAGTTTTGATTTTCGTCCAAGGAGCCAATGATATCTTTTTCTGGTTTCTTCTAGCTGCTTTCTCTTTTTCTTAATGTGTTCTTTCCAGGTTAGTCTCTTATCCAGGTGTAAACCTAGATATTTTACTGTGTCTGTTTGATCTATAATTTCGTCATTAAGTCTTACTGCAGGACAAGTCCCTTTGCAAAGAGTGAAAGTGATGAAACACCATAAATATAGCTTTAGAATTTGAAGTCTACCAACACAAGAAGCCAACATCAAAAAAACATAATTTATAAAAAAAATAGGTGCATCAATAATAGCTAATCTTCTGAGATATGCGTTACCAAGGAAACCAGTATCAATAAATAATATTGTTATCCAAAAATTCGTCCATAAAAGTGAGTGATAAAATTTCCCTACAACAAAATAGCTATTTGATAAATATAATGGCTGAGGAGACTCCAGTAACGATTTTAACAAACTTTTGCGCGGCCAGCAAACTGCCATTGCCTGAATTCACCTTGATTCATGACGGAGCGGGCACCAGGAACCCCATTTTCAAATTTGAAATGCGTCTAACATTGAAGGATACTAAAATAACAGTAGTGGGAGCAAGAACCACGAAGACACAAGCTAAACAGGAGTCCGCAAGATTGGCACTTGAGAAGTTATCGGAAATGAATTTATTTCACCCAAAAAAATTGGAGGTTAAGGACACCGTTGAGGCTAGTACATCCACCAGTGCTAATTCCGCACCAGTGGGACTGTTAGCTGAGTTTTGTGATAAAAAACATCTACCGACACCTTTGTCTAGTTTAGACGAAGATACAGGGCCGGCTCATGGCGAAAAATTTACTACGCAATGTTCTGTATCTACTTTTGAAGAAACTGCAAGTGCATGTACCAAAAATGATGCCAAACAGTTATCGCCTCAGAAAATGATAAATATGTTAGATGAATTAGATATTGATGAGCATGTAGAACCAATCAATGAAACGATGGTTCCTAAAATTATAAAAGCAAGATCTAAATTTCATCTACCGATTGTGGTAAATAATATAGCGGAATATCACCCTTTCGTCAAATGTGGTGAGGAAAATTGTAAAAAAGCTGTATCGATTTTGAACGATAATTCTTTAGGAGCAGAAGAAAATTGAATTTAGTTATGAATGCTTTAAATCTAGATTATGAGATTATGGAAACGCCAACAACAGAAAATAGCACAATCTACGTATTAACAATATGTGCAATGGAGCCCCAAATGCTAGTAAGCGACTACACTTTGCCAGATTTGTACGATAGGACAAATAAATATTTGAGCGAATTTTTGGAGTGATTCCATTATAGTATATAATATATATTATAGTATATACATTATAATTTTCTTACTGTAATTATACAAATAATTTTACTAAACTTTTATAGTTTTTATTGAATTTGTCATAGTTCTGATTTCACCAGAAAATCTGAAGTGGTAATTTTGTTTTCTCGATGTTTCTCGAAGTTATACTAAATCGTTTCAACATCTAATTTGAGAAAAGTATATGTGTGTATAAGAAACCATTTTTGACATTTCGTAGATTTCGAAAAATTCAAAGATTTCAGTTGAAAATGGTGCTGAATAATTTCTGGTTCCGGATCGTTTCTTTGCAATTAATTGTTGAAGTCGTTTTTAATAAATTTAATATAGTTCATGGTCTAACTAAACGAACATCCTAAAATATTATAGTCCTGAAACCGATTCTGCCTCACAACAACCCAATGTTATGGCAAGATCATGTTACGCTCTAACTTGCATACATAATGCTACTGATCATACTGTCAAAATGTCATGTATTTGCTGTGCATTCTGGTGTTTTACACATAAACTGCAACGTCACTCGTATGTTATGAAGCTGGGTCAGAAACACTCTGTTATCTAACATCGTTTTTTACATTTGTGCGGTTTTCTAGGTTAGGTTTTCTATCTGACAACCTGAGAAAAACGCCTGACTGCACAGCAATGTCAATGTTTTGTCAATATTTAGTATGGAAAGTTCTTCATAACATAGCCTTGCCATAACATTGGTCTGTTATGAAGCAGAATCCGGCCATTAATTTAATTAATTACCCATAATTGGTGTCATCTGCAAAGCATTAACAGCAATATTGGCACCGGATAAATGTCTCCACCTTGCGGGAGGCGTACGAAACACCAACGGTCCCGGTTCGGATATAGGATGCTTTTCTACTTGCAAAGCCGAGATAACAACCGCTTCACGGTTGTAATACCTGATAAAAAAAATAAAATAAGTGATCTAATTTTAAACCATAAATGGAATGAAGATTATTTATTATTTACTATTTAATTATTTACTGTCTAAAGTATTTTTGATAATTAATTAACCTTATTCTTTCATAAAAGATCATTCTTTTTTGTCTTTGTTATTTTTCTGTTATTTCTTTTTTACGGTAAGATAAGAGAGCAAGCTTAAAATATCGAAACTTACTTCTTAAGTAAAATCCTTATATGTGTATCAGTGGCTGTTGGAAACATTGCATGGATACGGTTTACGGCTTGTTCTATTTCCATTGGATCTGGCTGCAATTATAAACAAATAAATAGTTATAAATATTAAATTGTACATATATACAGGGCCGGCCCTGGGGTCCTCAGCGCCCGCATGCAAGATTTGTTCTAGCGCCCCCCCCCCAATAATTTTAACTGTTTTATCAGTTGTTCATTAAAATTATATAAACATTTACTTTATTTTTTAAAATTAATTTTTAATCATTCTGGATTTAATACACAATTTAGATGTAATCTAAAATATATGTGTATAAAATACATTGATTTCAAATTTATTTAGATAATCGAGGCGATTCGCGAGTTGATTATATTTATGATTATGTTTTTAAATTTTCAATTATTTTTAACGTATGTGCAATATTAATATTTGGGTTTTGAAACATTTAACTTACTTATTATGCGATTTATTCTATAGCAAATCAAGCCAAAAGAGCAAAAAATATTTATTTCATAAACATAACATTCATATTTTATGTTTCAAATTAAATTTTATTTTAATTTATTATTTCATTATTTACAATATCCAAAATTGCATCGTAAACTTCTCCTTATTGGTATCGTAAGAGCCGAATTGTATTCAGCTTTACTTTCCCATCAGATTCAAAGTATCAGATTGTTGTTTTAAAGTTAAACTTTTAACGTATTTTTAAAGAATTGTCCAAAATTAGTAAAAGATGCAACGAAATTACATATTCCCTTAACTGTACTGAAACAAACAAATTATATTTGTATCTGTATTATTTCTGCATAGTAAATAATTAAATTATGTATAAAAATATCTTAAAGATTTTGTTCCTAAGTACTTGATTATTAAAAATTTCTTGATCAATTCATGACCCATGAGACAAAGTATATTTTCGAGGCAGTAGTTTTATTATTTGTTAAAATTGAAGATAAAGATGATATTTATAATTTGATTATTAACAAATTGTTCAATTCACGACCTATGAGACAAAGTATATTTTCGAGACAGTAGCTTTATTATTTGTTAAATTTGCAGAAAACGATGACAATTATAACTTAATTATTAAAGATTTTCTGGTCAATTTACGACCTATAAGACGAAGTATATTTGCGATGCATTTATTACAACATTTGTTAAATCTACAGAAAACGATGATAATTATAACTTGGTAATTAAAGTAGCTTTATTATTTCTTAAAATTGGCTTTCGTTTTTCATATTTGATCTATTTCGATAACCCTAACCACGCATGTCTTCAACATTCAAAATTCATCAGAAGCGAAACCCATTTTTTATTTTCCGATTATAATTTGTCTATATTTTTTAACAAGTTCTGTTTTAATTAAATCAGCTCGCAATTTTTCGTCAATAAAGCCCAATAGTTAATTTAATCTTTCGCAGGTTTGAGCTTATGGGATTGAACACCAGAATAATTGAATAGGTAGATTAAGCAATTGGTTAATTGTTAGTATCTTCGTATCCCTGATTAAGTTAGATTGTTTATTATAATTTATTATGTATACTAGATTTTATACAAATAATTCTGGATTTTATATAAAAAATATAAATATTATATTATAAATTTAATTTCCGAAACTCGTTTTGGCGCCCCCTAAGGCTTGCGCCCGCATTTTTTGCATGCATTGCATGCAAGGCAGGACCGGCCCTGCATATATATATATATATATATATATATTCTATATATAACATTCTTCATTAATGATGTATGTAAATATACTCCTCCAAATAATTATTTGGATTTTGATAAATCTTTCTGAAGTTTGTTAAGGGAATTTTTTTTGATGTATGTGATTATAAAAATATAGTAATATTGTAGAAATAAATAGAAAATATTGCAAACAACGACATGTTATTGTTTGTCATTGAAAATATTTGAGACATTGTTTGGCATTGAAAACAAGGAAAGGTTCTGTGTGCCAATGGGGATGCCAATGGAATATTGAGGCTAATGTCTGTCAGATGTTTCAAGGTTAACGAGGACATTTGCTTCTGTTTTATATAATGGATTTCAATAGAGTCAAATAGAGTACGCTTATAGGGAGTACTTTGAAATCTGTTAGCATCGATTGAAGGCTGATCCAGAAAGTGTACATAGAACAGAAAGTGAAGGTTAGAGTAAACCATAGATAAGGAAAGTGGAGTATGGAGTAAACCATATACTCTTCTTTTATCTATGGAGTAAACCAAGAAGATAGAAATAGCGTTGAAATAGGTAAAGGAGTGCAGAATATCTTTATACTTATTTATCTATGGATACTGGACACTTTTCCATTGAAACAAGAAGAATCATCACCATAAAATACGCAGATGATCTCGTGGCGATATAGAAAATCAAATCCAAATATGAGTAAACCACATACTCTTCTTTTATCTATGGAGTAAACCAAGAAGATAGAAATAGCGTTGAAATAGGTAAAAGAGTGCAGAATATCTTTATACTTATTTATCTATGGATACTGGACACTTTTCCATTGAAACAAGAAGAATCATCACCATAAAATACGCAGATGATCTCGTGGCGATATAAAAAATCAAATCCAAATATGATGAGCAGAATCGTTGAAGTGGGTAAAAGATATGGAATAGACACCAATATCGACAAATCTCGAAGTGATAAGAATGTCGAAGCAAGATGAGCCTCTGAAGATAAAGGTAAGAAATCAAGAATTGGAAGATGTGGATCACTTCAAGTACTTGAGAAGCATCCTGAGAGATGGACACTGTCTGAGATAGATCAAGGCAAAGATTGCAAGCGTCAGCGCCATGTCAATGCGCTGAATGCCAATGTATTCACGAAAAAGAAAAAGCTTTTGTCAAGCGAATAGGGTTTCGATTTGCAGAAGAGGCTAATAAAGTATTATTTCTGGAGCATAGCTCTGTACGAATCAGAAATACGGGCAAAAACTGTCTGGAGAGTTTTAAAATATGATGCTGAAGATGAATGGAGAAGATAAAGTATCAAATAAGGTGTTAAAAAGAGTAGTCAAAGAAAAGACTCTAGAAAATTGGAAGATCTGTATCACTTCAAGTACTTGGTAAACACCCTGACCAGAAATGGATACTGCACGAGAGAGATTAGGGCAAGAATTGCGAGCGCCAATGCGGTATTCACGAAAAAGAGAAAGCTTCTGAGAAGCAAACTTAGTCTCGATTTGCAGAAGAGGCCTATGAAGTGTTATATCTGGATTATAGCTTTATGCAAACTGGAGACAGGACTGGAGAGTTTTAAAATGTGATGCTGGAGATGAATTAAGAAGATAAAGTATCAAATAAAGAATAATTAAAAAGAGTGAGCAAAAAAGAATATCTGGTGAGTAGAACACGGTCATTAAAAGTAAAGAAAACTAAATTGGACCCAGTCTGCGAAAAGAGTGCCTCCTACACGACGTCGTCGAAGGTAAAATGGAAGAGCTGAAAGAAATGGAAACAAAAAGAATGCAGATGATTGATGACTTACGCAATAAGAGAAAATACAAGAAACTGGTAGTCGTAGAACAGAACCAGGAAGCATGGAAGCAAAAGTTTGGAAAGGAAAATAAGTGTATAAAGGTAATAAAATGATAATTGGTATAATAAACAGGGAAAGGAAAAGCTAATCATTGATATGTGGTGTTCTCGCGTCATGAATCTGCTTTCCTTAACCAATTATAACTACTATTTATTATTATTTATACATAACCACTTACATTTAACAACAATCGGTTTTGTGCGATCGGGCTGCCATCTGTCGGCGTGTGAAAAGCGGCCTGGACCGGAATTGTGCAGGATAGACATGATATGGTGATGAATTGGCCTAAATGAAAACTTGGTATAAATATTTATAATTCTTAACTATTAATAATAATATTCATAATTAATATTTGCATTGTGAGATATTCTGCCTTGGCACACATCATACACTTATATACAGTAAAACCCCGTTAAGACAATTTTTTTGAAACTGACAAAAAGCGCGTATTGAGCGGGGAAGCTTATTAGGCGGGCTAGAGACAACAAGTTGCCAAGTGCAAAGATCGGCAGAAAAAGTTCTGGTAAGCGAGAGGTCGTAATAAGCATGATTGTGTCTTAACGGGGTTCTATCGTATATACCAATATAATAATAATATTTTAATAAATACATATCTATCTTCATATATAATTCATATTCAGAGTTCAATAATATCATAATTCAATCAAAATGTTAAGAGAATTTCTATTCAAAAACCTTCATAAATTTTATTTAATAATATCATTTCTTTAACTATGTAACAAACCCAAATTGCAAACATTAAGTTTTTTTTGTGTTTATTTTTTGACTTTGTAGTCATATACCTTCATCAATCAACTTTACAATTTTTACAAGTATTAAAATTTAAATTTGTTTATCTATGGTGTTAAGTTATTATTTTCAATTTGGGTTCGTAACCTTGCTAAAGCGATTGTTGCGCACTCACGTGGCGGGAACTCAACAAAAACTCATGTCATTAATTGATATTATAAATACGAAATTTGTTGTTACTATCTAATTATTAGTTTGTGAATTTTTTAATTAAATGAATACTGACTTGAACAGGGCCACACTCGTTCATTATTCCATTTATTTGTTTCAATTTCAGTCTCGGGTCCTCCCATGATGTAGTCTTTGTGTAGTGGTTCAGATAATAACTGAAATATAAAAATATAAATAAATTATATATATATATATATAATAGTTATTTAAAATTATATTACTATCATAAACTATTAATATAGTCACATTAAAATAATTATTTTAATTTAAATTTTCTCTGAAGATTGAAATAATTATTATTTTTTATTTTTAATATTTTGATTTTATTTAAAAAATATTCATTCATATAATTAATAATCTTTAAAATTATTTTAGTTTCATTTCATTTTTTTTTTTTTAAATATCATTCAATAATAAACATAATAAGTTTGATTACACAATTTGCAAACAAATCTGTTTAAATTCACTTATTATTTTTAATAACTATTATATTTTATTATCACTTATACCACTATTTTTTAAATATTATTATTGATAATATCTTTACAATTAATTTTTATTTCACAAATTTTAGACACTTTTAATTTCTATACTGTTTTAAATAATTAATAATTAAATAGAATCACTTTTATAAATTTAAATAAAAAAATATAGAAATAAACTAGCGGTGTATGGCATCGTGCCTTAAGACAAATTGCTGGAACTTTCCGTCCCGTAATAAATGAAATATTCGAAGAATATTAAATGATTTCAAATATATTATTTTAAATGCTGTAATTTTCATTATTCATATTTTATAGATGAAATATAAGAGCTTATCAATTGGATGATGATAAGATATATGTTTACACAAAAAGAGAATAAAAAAAAACTTAATCAAGTGGAGTTAGAATGAAAGATCTTATCTCATATTTTTAAAAATTATATAAACTGAATTGCAAAGGTAAAATTATTGTGAATACATAGTTTTTTTTTCAAAAAAGTGTACACTATTAATAATATTTATAAGAACTTAAGTTATATAATAATACAACTTATTAATTAAAAAAAACATAATATATATTAAACACATAACTATAGCTATTTTTTTTTAACTTTGCGTAAGGTATGTTATTGTAATCGTTCCAAAATCTAAATTGAAAAATTTTGCATATTTTTATGTTTCAAATATTTCTGAACCTTTTGGCATACCTTACAAAAAATGTATGTATGGATACAATTTTTCGTCCAGGTTTTCTGGCGCACGGATCAAACGATTTGAATGGTTCAAAAAACATTCGATTCCTTTTGATAGGGAGATGTGTTGATTGGCTTTTCGCAAAGTCAGATCTAGCCGTTTCGGAGATACGGAGCAAAAAGTGCAGAAATTAGAAATCGAGTTTCTGAGAAAACGAAGCATCCGATTTGAATGGTCAAAAAAACATTCAATTCGTAATGACGGGGATAAGTGGTGATTAGTTTTTGGCAAAGGCTGGTCTAAGTGCTTCGGAGATACCGAGGTTAATTTGCAAAAAATGACAGTTTTTGAGAGAACTAAGCATTTGATTTGAATGATTCAAAAAACTTTCTAATGTGTTGACGAAACGATGGCTTATGGGAAAAGATTTTTTTTCACAATTTTTTAAAAAATATTTTGTTTTGGATATTGAAAAAAATTTGGAATTTATTTTTAATTCTAGCTAAAGTTCTAAAGCTCACTTATATATTTTAAATAAATAATTTTAACTTTGCAATTCAGTTTATTAACTTCCCAGAGAGTTTATGTTTTCATCAAAAAATCCGAATTGCTAATTTTATGTTTTCTCGACGTTTCAAGCCATTCTGAATCGAATGAGACCAAATTTGGAAAAAGTATGTGTGTGTGTGTGTGTGAACACATTTTTTTGCCGTAAATCGACGTTTTCTCAAAAACGGTTGGACCGAAAAGCCATTAGATGTATCTCGATGTATTAGTTCGATGAGGACGAGCGCTTCTAAGTTTTGTGCGACGATCTGCCGAACCGTTTCTTTGTAAATCGCAGAAAAGTGAAAAAAATTTCCTCCACGTTTTAGCCCGCAATTCTGAATCGATTTTGAAAATTCAAAACTGTTCGAAACATATTGGTTGGGAATCGACCTGATTAGTTTTTGGTGCCGTTTTCTTGTAATAAGGTGTTAAAAAATTTTTTTTGACAATTTCCAGATTTTTTTGACGGTAGATACCATAGTCTTATAGATCATACTGAAATATTACGGTCCTACGACAAGTCGTTTAATTTAATAATCGTCAGAGTTTGCAAAAGTTAGTGTCATTTTTTTGGCGTTTGTCAAAATTACAACTTTCATCGACGTTTGATCAAAAACGCCTGAACCGATTTCAAAAATTTAAAACCAATCGATGTATTTTGATGTGGATTATTTTTTGTCAGTTTTGTCCAGCGATCGGCCTAGACATTTCTTTGTAAATTGGAAAAAGGTGTTAAACTTTTCGTCCACATTTAAGTTCATACTACCGAATCGATTTTCAAAAATGAAATACTGTTCGAAAGATATCATTTGGGAATGATACTGATTTGTTTTAGTTGAAAATCTATCGAGCCGTTTTCTTGTAATTCACTGTTGAAAAAAAAATTTAAGCCGATTTTTATGGAACTTTTTTTTGGCGATATATATCCTGGTCTTACTGAAATATTACGTCCTTACGACAAGTAGTTTAATTTTTAAAATTCATCAAAGTTTGGGAAAATGAGTAGTGTTTTTGACGTTTGTTAAAATTAAAATTAGACGATTTACTTGGTATAACGATATAGTGTACGTTCGTTTTCAATTATGTGTAATGAATCCACTAGGAATACTTTTAATCACTCATAAATTAATTTATTTTTGTTGATTATTTATACATATCGGGAAGTTCATATAACTTGCCTCAAGGCAAAAGTACCAATACCAACTAGATTAATTATTATATTAGAAAGAGTCCTTCATATTATATTTGATTGATTGAGTTATGTTTATTTACTTTTCTGTAAATAATAATTTATTTGAAAACATTTAATATTCCTCGAATATTCCATTACGGTACGGAAAGTTCCAGCAATTTGCCTTAAGGCATGATGCCATTACCACTAGTTAAACTTAATATTTAATCTAAAACACTGATGACATTGAAAACAAATAAAAATTCCCAATATTCTTATAAATATTAGGATTAGTTAAGTTTTTAAATATTTATTTTAAACTTTAATTTATATTAATATTTAATCCAAAACGAAATAACACTGATGACGTCTTAGACAATCAACTCTCGAAACGTGCAAGTACACCACTAATTTAATTCCAAAACAATCCCCCATATCGTTATAAACAATTAATAATGATTTATTTAAATAATTACTGCCTGCCTGTCCTATTATCGTATCGGGCTTCCCAGCCCGGCGGCATGGGCCCCCTTTTGTCCACGCCGTCCGCCATGTTACTGTGTTATAGTAGTTGCATAAGCGTCACGGCGCATGCCCGAAAAAGGATTTTACGATATTGATGTTTTAGATTATTGTTTTGATTTGATGATTTGGGGGATGGACTAAGAAGATATTTAAACTAGTTGATATTGGTATTTTGCCTTGAGGCAAGTTACATGAACTTCCCGATATGTGGAAATAATCGACTTAATCAATAAACTAGTAGGGCGCATGGCATCGTGCCTGAAGGCAAATTGCTGGAACTTCCCGTACCAAAAATTATTTTTGAAACATTTTTAAAAAAAATTACTCTGAAAAATTAGATTTTTGAGAAACTATAAATTTTTGACAAAAATTTACTTTTTTTAAAAAAAAAGACTTTTAGAAGAAAATTTTGAAGAAATACTTTGGAAATCCTGAACTTTTTTTCAGAACAATCGTACTGCTTTAACTGCATAGAGACGAAATATCGAAGAGCGTAAGCGCCTCGCCGCCGTCTAACGGATAAGCATTGGTACGGAACCCATAGGAATGCAAACAAAATTTATACTAATTGTTAAAATCTTTATAAAATATCTGAAATTTGATGTGCATAGTCTAATGATCATTTTTGACCGCCAGATGGCATTTTTTTTCTTTTTTCACTAGATTTCCGAAACCGCTAGACCTGCCTTCATAAACTTTGATCAGTTCTTCATTTTGTTAATACAAGTAAAATGTTTTATGAATTATTCAAATCGGACGCTCCGTTCTCTTAAAAACTGAGTTACCGTTTTGGCACTTTTGCCCATATCTTCATATCATATCTTCGGCTGCCTTTGTCAATAACTAATCAGCACGTCTCATTATCAATACGAATCGAATGTTTCTTGAATTATTCAAATCGCTTCATCCGTGTTCCCGAAATCGTTGACGAAAATTTGTATCGCACACACATACACACACGCACACAACACATACATCCATTTTTCTTAGGTATGCCAAAATATTCAGAAACCTCTGAAACGTAAAGATATATAAAAAATTTCATTTTCGATTTTTTTGCGATTACTAAAAACGCCCTGAACTGATTTCAAATATTTAAAAGCCATTTGATGTGTCTCAATGAGGACTATCGCTTGTCAGTTTTGTGCGACGATCGACTGAGCCTTTCCTTTGAAATGTGGAAAAAAGTGTTAAGCTTTTCGTCCACATTTAAACTCATAGTACCGGATCGATTTAAAAAAATCAAAAACTGTTCGAAAGATATTAGTTTGGAATGATACGGATTAGTTTAGGTGAAAATCTACCGAGCTGTTTTCTTGTAATTAACTGTTGTAAGAAAAAATTAAGCCGATTTTTATGGAATTTTTTTTAGCGATATATATCATGGTTTTATAGAACTTACTGTAATATTACGGCCTTACGACAAGTAGTTAAATTTTAAAAATTCATATAAGTTTGAGAAAATGAGTAGTTCTTTTGACATTTGTTAAAATTAAAATTAGACGATTTACTTGGTATAACGATAGAGTACTTGGTCTTAATGAGCATACTAAACCATTAAAGTCTTACGGAAACTGGTTCAATTATAAAATTTATTGATTTTTGAATATTTATTTTTAAAAAATACCCCGAACGAACACGTCAAGTGTTCGTTTTCAATTAAGTGTAATAAATCCACTCGGAATACTTTTAATCACTCATTTATTGATTAAGTCGATTAATTACACATATCGAAAAGTCCATGTAACTTGCCTCAAGGCAAAATACTAATACCAACTAGTTTAGAATCGATTCGATAATATGAGCTTAAATGTGGACGAAAAGTGAACACTTTTTTCCAAATTTCAAAGTAACGGCTTGACAGATTGTCGCACAAAACTGAAGAACGATTGTTCTCATTGAGATACATCAAATGGCTTTTAAATTTCTGAAATCAGTTCAGACGTTTTTGAGAAAACGTCGATCAGAAGTCTTATTCTGACAAATGCCAAAAAACGATACTAATTTTTGAAACTTTGACGAATTTTTAAAATTAAACTACTTGTCGTAGGACCGTAAAATTTTAGTATGATCTATGAAGACTATGGTATCTACCGTCAAAACAAAAATTCATAAAAATCGTCGAAATTTTTTTTGAAAACAATTTATTACAAGAAAACGGCCCGGCCGATCTTTACAAAAAATAATCAGGTCGATTCCCAACCAATACCTTTCGAACAGTTTTTGAACTTTCAAAATCGATTCAGAATTGCGAGCTAAACGTAGACAATTTTTTTTTCACTTTTCTGAGATTTACAAAGAAACGCTCGGCCGATTATCGCTCGAAACTCAGAAACGCTAGTCCTTATCGAGATACATCGAATGACTTTTGAATTTTTGAAATCGGTTCATCGTCGATTTTCATGCGTCATTAATCAGCAAATCAATCAAGACAAAAACGAAAACTTGAGACATTAAAATTAGTTTTAAACTAGTTCTGCATGGTTTTGTTTCTTAAGGCAAATTGCTGGAACTTCCCGTACCGTAATTAACATTCGGAAACAAAAATAATCAATATTTAAAAATAATTATTACAAGTTTTTTTACAAGAACAAAAACTACATAAACGAACACTTTTTGAATCACTCTAGTCAGATGAGCTGTCCTCGCACATTCTGCTATTCTTTGCACATTTTGCTTCGTATCTCCGAAACCGCTAGACCTTTTTTTGCAAAAATGTAATCAATTATTCACTCAATCAATACAAATTAAATGTTCTTTGAATCATTCTAATCGGATCTGCCGTTCTCTCAACCAATATTTACTCAACCAATGCGAATCGAAAGTTCTTTAAATTATTCTAATCGGTTGATCCGTACTCTCAAAACTTGAAAAATTGTTTCCAAGCATACGTACAAACACACGCCACACATTCATCATTTTTTTCAAAGGTATGCTAAAATGTTCAGAAATCCTTGAAACATAAAGATATACAAAAATGTTCATTTTAGATTTTTTTGCGGTTACAATAACTTACCCTATGGGAAATTGATAATAATGCATCCTGTAGAAATAAACATTTATATTTTCAATATTAAACAACTACATATTTTACACCGAGGAACAAACATGATTGTCCTTGAAATAAAGGATAATAAATTGCCCTAATAATATATATAAAGTAAATTAAATTAACAAAAACTATAACTTAATTAATAACAAATGTATTTGTAATAATTTACCTGGCCAATTCTCACAAACAAATGTTTTAAATCATTTGATTCTATAAATCCTTCATTATATATTCCACATTTATAAGGGAGTGAACTTCTTTTTGTTTTTATAAGCTATTCTCATGAACAGTAGTTGTGCAAAATATTTATTAAATCTTTCACCTTCATAAGGCGTTCTTCAGGGTAAAATTTTTTATGCAGGTCTAATGCTAGTTTTGTTATAAATGTTTCGTTGCAATATCTCACATTATAATAACTTTCTCCAGAATGAATCACTTCATGTTGACTTAATTCTTGCATTGTTCTAAATGTTTCATTGCATATTTCACAATTATAAGAACGTTCTTTAGTATGATTTCTTTCATGCCACTTTAATGAATCCTTTCCATTAAATGTTTTATTGCATATTCACACTTTATATGGACGTTCTCCAGTGTGAATCACTTTATGTTGGTTTAATTGATGTTTTGTTACAAATATTTTATTGCATGTATCGCATATAAGTACATTTTCCAATATGTAGCATTTCGTGATATTTTAAGCATTGTTTGCTTTTAAATATTTTGTTGCATGTCTTACAATTATAAGGACCTTCTCCAGTACGGATTATTTCATGGTAGTTCAAAGCTTCTATTGTAATAAATGTTTTATTGCATATTTTACAACTGTAAGGACGTTCTCCGGTATGAATTCTTCTATGTTGTTTTTAATCTATAATTTGATGCCAATATCTTGCCGCATGCCTCACATCTAAAAGGGCATTCTTTAGTATGCAGTATAAATGATATTCTAAATTACCTAACCTTGAAAATCTTTTATTGCATTCTCCGCCATGAATTGTTGCATGCTGATTCAATGCTTGTTCTGTTTTAAATGTTTTGTTGCATGTCTCACAATTATGAGGGCGTTCTCTGGAATGGAATATCTTATGACGGATTAATCCTTGTTTTAATTTGAATGTTTTATTGCATGTCTCACATTTGTAAGGAAGTTCTCCAGTATGAGTTGATAAATGTTTGTTTAAATTTGATGACTGTGTAAATCTCTTATTGCATATTTCGCACTCATAAGGACGTTCTCCGGTGTGAGCCTTTTATGCCGGTTATTTTTGTGTTGTTTTAAATGTTCTATTACATCTGTCACAACTATAAGAACTACCTGTTCAGTGTGAGTTTTGATATATTGTTTTGTCTAATCTCCACTAACTTTGTAAATCTCTTATTGCATATTTCGCACTTATGAGGACTTTCTAGAAAGTGAATCATTTTATCTTGGTTTAAAAATTTTTTCTTATGATAACATTATGGGTTCAATTCATAGATTTTTTAGTCTCGGTTGTTTTCAAGTTTCCTGAAACTTTTTCAGATGATTCGCTCATATGAATATTACTAATAAATTACTTGTCGCCCGACTTTCTTCATTACATATATAAGGTTTTTCATCGTGGTTTTCAATCGCTTCTTGTTTTATTTCTTCATCAATAGTTACCTCTGATTTAAAAATCGCTGAAGAGATATTCTTCTTTCTTCGTTTCCAGACATTCTTCTGATATATCATAATAATCCAATTCTTGTTTGACTTGTGGACAATAATCAAATTCTTGTTTAACTTGAGGATATTCGATTGGTTCAATTTTAATTGTTGGGTTTGAGTTTGTTCCTTCAGACATCTTCGCCTTTGTTGGTTCTCGCACATAAACTGGAAATTTAAAATATTTTTTATTAATTAATATGTTTTGTTCAAATACATCTAATACTAAGGCTAACATTTTTGTTATTTATTTTCGCATATAAAACACAATTTCATTAAACACTTTGACATTTCTATTTAATTCTAACCTCGAGTTTTCGTGGATCAGGTTGGACAACGTTGAAAACATTCAACGGCGAATTTATCGGCGGCAACATTTAAGTCCAGATTACATATTTACCACAGAGAATTTAATTGATTTTATTTCAACCCAACATCGCGCTTAAACCCTATAATTGATTTGAATCTTATATTTTAAGGTATTATAGGGTTTGTATGTAAAAAGTTCTGAAAATTAAACGCTGTAGTTTTTGAATGGTGCCAATTTTGAAATGCTTATTTATCTGTGATTGCGACTATCCATGATACCATGATATCCATGATAATGAAACGTACCGAGTGTTGTCACACCTGATCTCTAACCTATGCGAAGTGAGACTCAAATCGAAATGTCAAAGTCATTAATAGATATATTAAAACATATTTATCATTGATGCAAAACATATAAATTGAATATATAGATATATATAGAATTAATAGAATATATTTATCACTGATGAAAATCATACAAATTCAAAGCTTTCTTAATTTTTTATGAATTACTGTTGGTTTGTTTATGAAAAACGACTAGCGCCGAAAATGTCCGAAGAAACCATTTCAAACCCAATAATTAAAACTGAACAAGAAATATTCTCCAGTTAAACAAAACTTGATGATTACGACATTACTCCAAAACATGTTTAGAAAACGAGGTAAACATTTACAGCAATTTTCAGAATTTGAGATGAAAATAAACAAAAAAATAAAACAAGAAAAAGTTCATGATCAAGATGAAACAGTTTCGACGAGGGATCTTACATGGAAAACGAACAATATGTCAACAGCGATTTTTAGATTCTGAAGTCACTATAGACAAAGAAATCAAGAAAGAAACAATTGATGATAAAGATGAAGCTCGTTTCGATGAGAATTCTTACACAGATAATGAAGAAATATGTCTACAGCAATTTTTAAAATCTGAAGTAACAATTGACGAAGAAGTTAAGCATGAACCGATTGATGAGCATGTTGCAGACACCAGTAAAACAAAATATTGATAATGTCGGTGAGTCAATTGATTTAGTGGATAATATAATGAATGCAATAAATCATTTAAAAAAGTTTTAGGAAACGTAAAACTACCCTAAACTTGAAACAATCCTTGAAATGTAAAATTTGCAATAAAATTTCTCAACAATTAGCACCTTATATCGACATAAAATGATTCATACAGGAGACGTTCTTACAAATGTAAAACCTGTAATAAAGCATTTACAACAAATAATTGTTAGGTCAGCATAAAAAATTTCATGCAAAGGAACGTCATTACAAATGTGAATATGTAATAAACATTTATAACAAATGGTAATTTAAGTCAACATAAAAAGATTCATACGGAAGAACGTCCTTACAAATGCGAAATATGTACTAAGCATTATAAACAATGTAATTTGAGTCAACATAAAAGATCATACGAAGAACGTCCTTCAAATGCGAAATGTAATAAAGCATTCATAGCAAAACAACCATTGAACCTACATCTAACAATTCATACTGGAGAACGATCACATAAATGTAAGATATGCAATAAAGCATTCAGATTAAAACAAATTTTAAACAACATGAATTAGTCCATTCTAAAGAAAGCAATCATTAATGACCGCATGCAATGAAACATTTGCAGCTTCGCAATCAAATAAAGCGATATAAACAGTTTATTCATGTAAAACTGTAGAACATTTATAATAGAGGATTAAATTTTCATAATTTTAAACACAGTAG